TATAAGACAAATATCTCTTACTAGTATCTTTCTATTTATTTTTATTTCCGTTTATTACTCATTTCATATCCTTGTAATTTATTTGATTATAAATAAGATAACTTTCACATTTAGTTGTAGTGGATTAAGTAAACATTTTCATGGTATTAGAGCCGTTTCGGTTTAACAACCCCGATCCCTTCTTTTCAATGACTTTTGAATCCCCTACTCATATTCTTTTCCACCACCCCTGCTGCTTTGACGCTGCAGGGGCAGTCTCCATGACTGCCACATGCGGAGCCGATTGATTACTCTTCGGCTCCACCCTTTTGACCTCCAAATCACCTTTCGCCATACTTTGTACATAGAACATCACCTTTTCCAACACAATCGATTTTCTCTCAACCAACATAGTCTCCTTCATTTTCTTCCCAATCTTCCTTCATCCTTCACAGAAACCCTAACCTAAACCTATCAACCTTCTGCAGAGATTTACCCTTGGAATCTGGGCACTGCACTGGCTTCTTTGCCAACCAAGTCGTTGTCGCCCTTCTAGCCAAAATTGGCCCCTTCGCCCACCGTGGCGACTCTTCCGGCTTCAACATTGTCTTTGTCCCTTGCTCTAAGTTTCCCAATCTACTTCTTGGGTTGACATATTCTCGCCAGAGCCAAGGCAGCATCGTCGGTAAGCGACGATCCCTATTCATGGGTTAGACATATTATCGTCGAAGCCAAGGCAGCATCTGTTAGTTTATTTAATCTTGTATTAACCGTAATTCATTTGTATTTACTATTTGTATTTCAAATTATGTCAGTTAAGGGAAGTTTAGCAGTTAAGAAAAGTTATTAGCAGTTAAGGGAAGTTATTAGCGGTTAAGGGAAGTTATTGGTAGTTATTAATGTGTGGCTATTCTGTCTATATATGTACTGTGTAATAAGCGGAATAATATGAGTAAGTTGGTTTTGTTTATTTTAAAATTATTGTCTCTCTTAGTTGTATGAGTGTTTTCTGACAATTGGTATCAGAGCGTGGTTACATGCCAAAGATCATGCCCAGAAATAATAACAACACTGGAGAGAGAGGAGAGCCGTCGAAGTCTGCAATAAAGGAAGGCCTGGTATCACTCCAATACCTGACGTTATCGAGAACCAACTACTCAGCATGGGCTATGAAGATGAAAGTCTATTTGTGTGCTCAAGGGGTGTGGGACGCAATCGAATCAATGAGTCTCTAGATAGTCTTGATAAAAGGAAGGATTAAATGACCTTAGCAGCTATCTATCAAGCAATCCCTGAGGAGATGTTGTTTTTGTTAGCAGAGAAAGAGACAGCAAAAGAAGCATGGCAGACGTTAAAAACTATTCATGTCGGTGCTGAACGTGTAAAGGAGGCAAAGATCCAAACTCTGAAGATTGAGTTTGAAATTATGAATATGAAGGAGTCCGAGACTATTGATGATTATGCAGCAAGGTTGACAGAAGTTGTTAATAAAATACGTACTTTTGGAGACAAGTTTGAAGAGGCATACTTGGTGAAAAAATTTCTCCGCTCAGTACCTCCTAAGTTTCTTCATATCGCATCGGCAATAGAGCAATTTTTCGATTTAAAGGTGATGACAATGGAGGAAGTCGTCGGCCGTCTTAAAGCATACGAGGAACGAATCGGTGGCAACAAAGAAAATGCTGAGCATGTCTTATTGACTCAAGGAGAATGAAAAGAGAAAATACGTAGTGACAATGGAGGCCATAGCCGAGGGTGAGGTCACTGGAGAGGGAGAGGTCATGGACGTGGAAACAACTAATTTCATCAAGAGAAGAAGGCTGGCAAGAGCAAGGTAAGATGCTACAATTGTCAAGGCCTAGGCCACTATGCCTCAGAATGTCGGAAGGTGAAGTGTTATAATTGTCAAAAGATTGGTCATTATGCATCCGACTGTAGATCGAAGAAATGGGAGGATCAAGTGCATTTGGCTGAGACGCAAAGTGATGAGGATGAGCCAGCCTTACTTACAACACAAGTTTGTGAAGTCCAAACTCTCGGTTCACCAGAGTTGACGGAGATGGCTCTTTATGAAGAGAAGGTTGTACCGGAAGAAATTGAGAAGAAAAGCAACACTTGGTTCCTAGAGACGGGAGCCAGCAATCATATGACTAGTTGTCGAAGTTGGTTCTCAGAATTGAACGAGTCAGTGACTGGCACGGTGAAGTTCGGAGATGGATCACTTGTAGAGATAAAAGGACGTGGAGATGTGAAGGCTGTGTCTGTGAAAAAAAATAGAGAAGATGATCGATGAGGAGAAAATTGATGGCTCTGTGAAGATTGAATCGGAGAAAAAAACAGAGAAGCGAGAAGAGAAGAAGAGCGATTGCGAGAAAATCGTTGGCACTATGAAGTTTGAATCCGAGGAGAGGAGTGATGGCGTTGTGGCGGAGGTCCAGAATGTGGCAACGGAGGTAGCGAAAGCAAAGGAGATAAAAGAGAAGGATTGTGGCGGTGAGAAGAAGGAGAAGGAGGACGGAAACAATGGCGGTACTATTGAAAAACAGGTCGCCAGAGAAACGAAAGCGGAGAAGGAGAAGGAGGCCATTGTTTCCAACAGTGCAATTGAAGTAGCACAGGGAACTAAACCTGTTGAGGAAAAGTCGTTGGCCGACAAGTAGAACAGGTAATTAAAATTGTCGATGAAAAGTAGTTGTCCATTGAAACGAAGACAGAGAAGAAGGAAGGCGACAATAATGGCGGCAACGGTAGCATTTAACAAGTAATCAAACTGGTGAAAGGAACTATTGATATTGGATGTCATTATGTGAAGGCAAAACAAGTAGAAAGAAACAATTGCATGAGAATCCAATTACATGGACTTCAAAGAAACAAAAGATGGTGACACTTTCATCCTGTGAAATGGAGTATATTGCGGTGGCATCAACTGGTTGTCAAGGAATATGGTTAGGACGTTTACTGAGAGAATTGGTTTGAAGAATGTAAGAATGTGAAGATCGAAATACAAGATTAAGGGGATGATTTGTTAGTTTATTTAATCTTGTATTAACCGTAATTCATTTGTATTTACTGTTTGTATTTCAAATTATGTCAAGGAAAGTTTAGCAGTTAGGAAAGTTATTAGCGGTTAAGGGAAGTTATTAGCGGTTAAGGAAAGTTATTAGCAGTTAAGGGAAGTTATTGGTAGTTATTAATGTGTGACTATTCTGTCTATATATGTACTGTGTAACAAGCGGAATAATATAAGTAAGTTGATTTTGTTTATTTTAAAATTATTGCCTCTCTTAGTTGTATGAGTGTTTTCTGACAGCATCGCGGTTGAGCGACGATCCCTTTGCAATTTTCGATGGCCAAGAAAGTGTTTCTCTACTCCTCCTCCGAACTAGGTTGTTGACATCTTCACGAAGAGTGTTTCTCTACGCCTCCTCTGAACCAGGTTGTTGACATCTTCACAAAAAGTGTTTCTCGACCTCTCTTTGAATTTTTCAGATCTGAGTTTCACGTTCGTTCAAATTCGACACTCATCTTGCGGTGGGGTGTTAAGGATATTCAGTAATAAATTATAGTTTACTATATATATATCATATTTGATATTTTATTAGAAGGAAAATATCTCTTAATAATAAATTATAGTTTACTATATATATATCATATTTGATATTTTATTAGAAGGAAAATATCTCTTAATAGTATCTTTCCATTTATTGTTATTTTGGTTTATTAGTCTTTCTATTAGAAGGAAAATATCTCTTAATAGTATCTTTCCATTTATTGTTATTTTGGTTTATTAGTCTTTCTATATCCTTCTAATTTATTTGATTATAAATAAAATAACTTTCACCCTAATTTATTGTTATTTTGGTTTATTAGTCTTTGAATTTTTCAGATCCGAGTTTCACGTTCGTTCAAATTCGACACTCATCTTGCGGTGGGGTGTTAAGGATATTCAGTAATAAATTATAGTTTACTATATATATATCATATTTGATATTTTATTAGAAGGAAAATATCTCTTAATAGTATCTTTCCATTTATTGTTATTTTGGTTTATTAGTCTTTCCATATCCTTCTAATTTATTTGATTATAAATAAAATAACTTTCACCCTATTTAGGTGTAGTGGATTAAGCAAACATTTTCACTCACGTAAGCCACAAGGGGCAATCTCCCTATATGAATCTAACAAAGAGTTTAGTTGATTTTTTTAATGTTCAAGCTCGACAGATACGTAAGTTTTCATGCCTTTTTCTTTAATTTCTAAACTTTAAGAATTTTATCGAAGGTCTTAGAGGCTAAATTTTAAGACGGCATAGAAGAAAAAAAAAAAAAAGAAGCTCATAATAGCTCTAGAAACTTAGAAAAAAATAAAATAAAAAATAGTAAAAACATAAAAGGGATAAAAACTCTAGTAATTTGGTAAATGAATTAAATCAATTTGAAGTTTTGTGCAAGGAGATACTTTCGAGGATTATTGGGGTTTTCTATATTGACTAATTTAGGGAATGATTATGCGTTTATAAATAAGGAATATATCTCGATTCATATGAGGCAAAGCTATGAACTCAAAATGGACAATATTTATACCATTGTGGAGATTCGTGATTCTTCTGCCTTTCCAATATTTAGTGAATGTTATTATTGCTCAGTTCAAAAAGATGTTCACTCATCTTGAGCTTAACTATGCACTCGATTTCTTGAGACTGGGGTGGGGCATCCCGAGTAGAAGAGGAGAAGCTGAAGTAAGAGGTCTTCTAAAAAACTTTTGTATAATCAAACTTACATTTCATTGGTCTAGCTTGAATGTGATGTATGCTTTTACTAGTTTCTTGAACATCTTGATATATTGGTCGAGGGCAAGATTTCATTTCTTTTTGAAAGTTTCATTCACATGGATCTCGTTTTCTTTAGTTGTAATAGAGAAACAAAAACACACTAGTTCTCTTTATTTTATTTTCAAATCATTCTTTCACAATGATTTACTTGAAGTTACATAACTTCATACATAGAATTCATAATAAAGTAGCTAACATTTAAGCTCATATCTTGTTAATAAATTTACTTGCATAATCTATGAGCTTGTCAAGTTCAAATTCACTGATGAGACCATCATGATTAGTATCGGCATAAGCCATAGCATAGTGAGCTTTGTTGAACGGAAGAATTGAGCCTAGAAAACCAAAAGCTTTTGTTACCTCTTTTATGTCGAGAAAACCATCTTTGTTACTATCATGATTTTTGAAAATCTCCTTCATCTGTTCACGACTAAGTCGCAGCTTAGACATCTCTCCATCAAAAAATTTTGTTGAGGATTTCTTACCTTTGTCTTGTACCTGCTTTTTATGCTTCATATGAGAGTTTGAGCTATGCTCGTGCGCAACATTGTTGTTGGCTTTTGGGATCTTAAATACAAATCCTTGATTATTATTGAGTTGCTTGGAACCCCGAGCCTTGTGGAGGAAGACTTGTAGCTCTTCTTTAGTGAGCATACCATCGCCATTTGTGTCATACTTCTTCATCAATCGATTTGCTTCATCTTCCGCCCAAGTTTGGAATTTGGAGGCAGACATTCTTAAACTAAAGCTATGTTAGTTTGGATGAAATGTTTGAAGATGGAAGAAATCTTTAACATGGTTCAACCATTTTATAGTAACTCAAAAAGAAACTAGGCTTAAATTTATAGCCTTTTAGGTGAATAAAAAATAACACTAGTTATTATAATTATCATTAGAATCTTATACCATCCCTTTGAAAAAAGATATGGCCCTCGTCCAAACATCTATTCAAAAGGGTTTTATGAACAATATAAGTTTCTTTCCTTTTGAAAGAAAAAAAAAAAGAAAGAAAGAAAAATCCCTTGTAGACATATTTAGTCGATATTGTTCGGTTTGACTCATTACATGTCGTCATCAGACTCACGATTTTAAAACATTTCTACAAGGGAGAGGTTTCCAAACCCTTATAAGAGATGTTTTATTCCCCTCTCCAATTAATGTGTGATCTCACATGAACTGTTAAGATGAGTCGACATTCATATGTGACGATAAGATGATAGTGATCTTTAATGGATTAGATTATGAGAAACAATGAACTCTGAGCATCTAAGGAAACAATAAGTTCTAAGGGTAGATTATGATGAATGATTGCAAGGAGTATTAAAGAGTTAACTAGATCATCAAAAAATTTCAAATAATCATAACGAGATAGATGAGTTCCAAAGAGCTATATGGTGATGATTCGTGAATGATTTGATCTCCAAAGAGGCCAGTTATGAAAATTGATGTGCTCCAAAACCTAATAAAGATTTGAAAGCCTACAGGCAATTGACCAAGTATTTTTATGATCATCTAGGCTACTTTACATATTCAAATAGAATTTAAGCTATGCAGTTGAGGGGAGAGCATACACGAGCTATGGTATTATAGAAATCGTGATAGATCTGGTTTGTATGAATATGTTTTTTATTAATATTTTGTGAATGATGTTGATTTTTATTCAAAGTTTTGTTAGAAAATTCGGATCGAAGTTAAATAAGGAGAAAAATGTTTTATGGTTTACTATTTTTTTTTTACTGTTTGTACATAATGTGTTGAAACTGAGGATGAGAATTTGTGTATCTACACTCTAGAGGTTAGTTATCCCCCATAAACATGTATTTGAAAAGTGTTAAAGATATTTAGTAATAAATTATAGTTTACCATATATATTATATTTGATATTTTATTATAAGGCAAATATCTTATTATCATAGGTATCTTTCCATTTATTGTTATTTCCATTTATTACTATTTTCATATCCTTGTAATTTATTTGATTATAAATAAGATAACTTTCACATCATTTAGGTGTGGTGGATTAATCAAACATTAACAAAAAGGAAGAAGAAAGATAGAAAAGAAAAACGATCTCCATCGTCGTTCTTTCCCAGATTTGTCCATGGGTCCTTCACAAAATATTTCTTGGAGTAGGGAGATAGTTTATGGGCACTTTGAATCAATCAATTCCGTAATAAACAAGCAAAAATGAGAGATTAATCTATGGGTATTTGACTTCAATTTACCTTTAAAATCTATGAGCTAATCATGAAGTATTAGACTGTAAAATTTTAGAATATTTATCTAGGAGTGAATCCCCACACTACATAGAAATTTGGTAAAATATCACCTCCAAAATCGAACTTGTGGGAGATCTCAAATTCTAGTAAGAATGAATAAATTTTCAAGTTTGAATGCGTTTATTTTGATACGTGGTTGTCTAAAAATTATAATAAAATTACATTTTGAGTGTTTGATTAGAGATCATAAAGAAATAAAATTATTTTGAGTTAAAAATTAAGAGTTGCGAAAATGAAAAGAAAATAGTTTGAAATGCAAAACTCCCAAAATTTTAGAAAAAAATAACACAAGGAAGAACCTATAGACACGAGTCGATCGTCAATGATGGAGGCGTGTCTCAATCAGTGGTAGACACACGTCACACGTGTAACAAAGTAACGTATACACTACGTGCACCGATACGCAACACGGGCCATCACCCGACCCAAGACCTGTGTGCGACTTGAACCACATTACTCTATTGAGGAGGGTGCTTGGGAGCTTAGTAGTCACAAAGAGGTATCAATTTAGGACATTGTCTTGTCCACATATTTTTGTAGTATGTCATAACATATACATCTTTTGTATACATTTTTACTTCTATTTTAGATACATTGTTGAATGTTCTAAAATTACGTGAAATTTTATGATAGTTTTCTATTGTATTTTCATATATTCATGTTGCATCACATTATATTTTGGTCTTGACCTAGTTTTTCTCGAATTTTGAGTCGTTACTTAATTTAACTAGCCACAATAATATTATTTACAAGTTTTTTTTTTCTTAACTATAAAATATAGGGACGAAACCAACTTGAATAGAAATCAACGAGTTAAGGTATACAGCTTCGACCAACAAGTTAAAAGTTCAAATCCCTCCACCTCTCCCTATTTTTTGAACTAAAACAAAGCGTGAACAAAAAAATTTAGACTTTCGACCTATAAAGGAAATTAGTTATTCGTCGATCTATTATTTAAGTAAATAACTTTATAATATCTAACACGTCGTTCATCGCTTTAAAAAAGAAATGTTTATTAAATTTTATGATCGAAGTTTCAAATCTTCGTTCTTATATTTTTTATAATAAAAAAATGAAATAAAAAAGAAAATATTTTGTTCTTACCTTAGAATTGACAATTGTTAGGGTGGGGAAAGCAAATGAATTAAAGTATGATTCGAAGAATAAGATTGAAGGATTAGGTAAATAGAACATCACCTTTATTCTCTCAACTTTTTTTTTTTTATTATTATTATTATTTGTATTTACATTTGGTGGGACTTATGCTTTATAATATGAAAATAATATACTTAGTTGCACGTGCTTAAGACCATGGTTATTATAAGTAAATATTTGCATCCTCTTGACACATTACCTAACGTTTGGCTCTTATACCATTTGTAACAGCTCAAGCCCACCACTAGCAGATATTGTCTTCTTTGGACTTTTCCTTTTGAACTTCCTTTTAAGGTTTTTAAAACGTGTCTGCTAGAAGAATGTTTTCACACCCTTATAAAGAATGTTTCGTTCTACTCTCCAACCAATATGGGATCTCACAACCTACCTAATTTGTTATATTATTGAATGAATAAATAATATTGATCCACTATTGTCGTTCTAGACTTGTCTCTTATGCCTTCGAGGTGCAATCTGAATGTCGGTTCCACCTACAATCTTCGATCCAAAGAAGGTAACGACCTTCAATCCGAGGCTAAGCTATTAGACCAGACTGGCTAGTTCAAGTTTATATACTTTTCTTGTTTTTTAGTTCTATATCTACCTTTTTTTGTTCCACAACAAAATTGAATATAAAAAAAAATAATCCTCGAAAGCCGATTATCACAGGCTGTAAAAAAAACATAATGGCTCGATGGAGCGTTTTGCAACTTCTTCTCGGATATGAATTTGTTGCGAGAGCTTTGCAACTTATTCTCAAATATGTTGTTGTTGAGGTTAAATTGAATTTAATGTTAAAAGAGTGTTCGATCTTCAAGAACTACTTTGGGCCTTGTTTTCACTATTATTGTTCTCTTTGACCTGTTTCATTTTTTTTTTTATCTTTTTTTTTTCTCATGCACAAAAACCAAAGTGATTTTGGAATCTATGAACGTGTCAAAATCAAGTAGAAAACAGCTTAATCTGAAGGCAAGCGTGATTAGCATTCTCCTCTAGAGGTGTAATAATTTTGCTTTCGCCAACCACCTTCCAAAGGTCTTGTCCTTATAAATAGAACATCATACATGTTGTCCACGTAATATAGTTATTGTTCTTGACTTTCTCGATTCCTCCGATGTCTTGGAGATCACCCATCGTGTTGGTAATACCTAATACTATTAAACAAGCTAATTTTTGAGACAGAGCTTGCAGAGTCAAGTCACTCACGACAAAAGAAACTCCCTCACTAATAATCTCAAGAAATCTTTTCTATTGTGGAAGATCAAACAAAACTCCAACCACTGTGCATACTACACAATTCCAAGAGATTTGACAACCTATACCAATCTTGCTAAAACACCGACACTTTCAAGTTGGTTGGAGTGTCATTTCACCTAATTAATTCAGAGAGCAAAATTTCAAATTGGTTGGATTGGAGTGTTAGGTTAATTTTTTTTTAAATTATCTTAAAAATTATATTTACCCACACTCCATGTTGTATAATAACTAAAATCTAACTCAAAAGTAGAGTACTTATTCAATTTCTATCTCATACATCCATCGATACAAACTAGTAACCTCATTGTGACGAAAATGTAAATATTATAGATACACATGAATATATTATACAATAATAATGTTGATGCTAATATGTAATTTTCGATGTTCGATGAATTCTAAAATCTTACTACTTTTTTTCGATTGCCTCTAACAAATATGACATACCAAGAACATCACTTTATTCGAATTCAAAAAAGAAAAGAAATGAAGAACGCTATTATTTCGTTGAGTTCAAATAATTTACAAAGATTTAGTAAACCAAGTCATTCCCATAGAGTTTTTCAGCATAGTTGATAAGTTTGTCAAGCTCAGCCTCGCTAATGAGTCCATCTTTATTAGCATCTGCATAAGCTATACCATCACGAGCCTTATAACACGGAAGAATTGGGTCTAAGAAACCAAATGCCATTGTTAATTCACCATAGTCGAGAAAACCATCGCCATCGACATCATGCTCCCTAAAAATCTCCTTTATTTGCTCTCGACTTAAACGCATAAATGACCACTTATTCTTCAAGTCTCTTGGTGGGGCTTTTTGGGCTTTGTCTACTAACTTCTTTGCTGGGTCTTTGTTCCACTTTGAGCTATCTTCGTGCAAAGGATGCTCCTTGGCTTTCCCATCAGGCTTCGTTTTTGGCTCTTTAACCTTGTGTGTGGTTGCATGGCTCTCATCACCTTTGGCTTTGGCCTTCTCTTTGGGCTCTTTGTGAGCCTTTGAGGTCACCTTAGGAGGCTTTGAGTTAACTTTATGTTGGGGAGGTAGGGCTTTAGATGCCTTGGATTGAGCTGAAGAACAAGCTAAGTTAGGGAAAATTC